GACATTTTTCGACTTTTCATGGAATTCAATCCAGCAGCTGCTAAATAGTCGAGTGCGGATACCTAAGCACTTGTTGGTTACTAAGTATGGTTTTGCTACGCGATAACTTTTTTTGTATTTTCAAGGGTGTATGAAGCATCTCAGCGGAACCCGAGATTCGGATAGAGTGGCTAACCTGTGTCAGATGAGGCATTAGCACTTATATAAATTACATAGTAACCAAAGAGCGTTTGCCTGTTAGCGCGTGCTCGACTGTATCTGCAGCGCAACAGTTTATAGCGTTACATCTAATTAATAGTTAATATATTCGATGCACTTAACATATTTACGACTTCCGTCTTACAATCAGCTCTGCTCAAAGCGATAAATTATAATGAAATCGTGTATAGAAGTGAAATTCGGAGCATTTTTCGTAAGCAAAACCTACCAGAAAGATCGGAAGGGGAATCACGACCGTAGTCTGATAGTGAGTGACAGCCAGTTTTTCTTTTTCGGGTCTTCGTAATATATGCTCTTTCGAATTGACTGATAAGGAGCTCAATGTTGTTCTAAGAAGGCCAGGAAAATAGTGGTACTGAAGCTTAGGAGCCTCACCTTTGACTAGCGCGTATCAACATTCTTAGCAAAGGATACCATCCCTTTGATTGAAAGAGTTGATAGAGAAACTCGCTCTGAATTCATTTGCGAACTAAGGACATCATGACACAACGAGAGAATGCTATCGTGTGGGAGATTTGAAGAGAATTTTGTTCCTTCTTTGAAGACTCGTTCCTTCCTGGGAAGGAGCATCGGCAGGGCTCCCGAGCGCATCGGTTGAAATAGGATGTGCAGCGCACGATTCATCTTTGGAGGCGGATTACAAATTTTACTTTGAAGACACGAGTTGGGATTGAATTGGTGCGTCATTTTGTTTGAGAATTGAGCAAGGAGTGCAATGAGGATCATTATTAGGAAGAATAATCAAAAGGCACATGCACCGAGATTGCCCGTGTTATGACGGAGAGACATAGCGCTGTGAGTAGAGCGAGAAGGCGAGCGAGATAGTGCGATGTACGCGAGAGGGCACAGAGACCGCTCTCGGAAAGGAATCCCAGCTCGTGAATTTAACATTAGTATGTTAACCAAGCCAACTGGACATATGTTAAGATGGCCTAGTGCTTCAAATGGCGAATCCCTAAGCGTGGCGTCAGAGGTTGTATTGCACGCTTTCCCTTTGAGCAATGTCAGTCATAACCAAGGAATAGTCCATTTTGGTTTTTTTTTGATTATTGCTCGACAACTGTTTCCTTTTTGTCGCATTTGATGTCAATCTCAAATTCTCCGACTTCGAAGTTCTGTTCCATATGCTCTTCGCGATCCCACTTTTTCAATGCTAAATCCCGAGCCTCAGTTTGATCCAACACTTGACGCTTGCTGCAAAATGAGGGTGATGATCGTGATCGATCAGAAGACCAACTATGTGGACCAAGATTTGGCGAAATCGAAAAAGTAACACTGAAACAATTTT